AATAATGTGTATTTGTGGAATTATAATAATGTGTATCCCTGGAATTATAATAATGTGTATTTGTGGAATTTTAATAATGTGTATTTGTGGAATTATAATAATGTGTATTTGTGGAATTATAATAATGTGTATTTGTGGAATTATAATAATGTGTATTTGTGGAATTATAAATGTACAGATTAAGTTAAGTGTAATAGATTAATCAGGATGTTAGGAAAATACAGGTATATAGTCAGTGTTATAAAACATTCCAACTATAAAACAGAAAAACAGATATTAATTGGTGATTTTTATCATCCCAATATCATTTTCAAGATCAAAAATACAGGCAGGCATTAACAGTATCATGAACAACAAACAGTCACTTTTTAGTTTCTAAACCAAGCAGTGTTAAAATAGCATTTCAGCTAGAGGGCACATTCTTGGGGTGCTAATTTACAGTTGGGTACAGTCACCAAAATGAGGTTTTCAAAATCAAAACTCGTGACGATATTAGACCATGCTCGTTCAACTCAACATGCTCAATGACCCTCCCCCCTCCCCCTTGTTATATAAATAAAGCAATATAACTGACCTGCGATATTTAGAGGGTGGTTCATGGTATTTAACATCAGGTATAAATCTAATACTTCCAGTTTCTAGGCTACTGTCATATACTGAACTAGCCTGAAAATAGAATAATGTCATTCTAGTTCTATCCAATACAATATCTGACAGAATTCCTCTAAACAATTGATCTCCAAGTAATTTACATATAATTTACATATAATTTACATATAATTTACTGAACTAGGCTGCTCTATGATCACTTAGTGGGAGAAACCAGGTTCAAATCTCTACCTCTGCAATCTACATCTTGGATCTTCAGTTTATTGAGGGAGTATCTTACTCACTGAGTCACTGCAGCTCCCCTGTATAATAAATAATTCTATCCCTATGATTTTTGTAGGATGTGAAAATCTTACCCGTTTATCTGTGATTTCATCGTCTAGATTATCTTCAATATCCGAGGTGATGCCAGAATTATAGGATGACGTCATTATCACTGGAACTTCACTACCTGTAGAGTAGAAATAACAATTTATTATAGAGAGTTTGTTCTTTACATTGATTACATCAAACAATTAGTGATCGTGGTTTCAAATTTTGATTGGCATGTAAACTTCTGGTGACCTTCAATAACTTATTTTTCTTGATAATTCCAGTCGACCCAGCTGTAAATGAGTACAGATAATTCAGGAAAGATTAATGTCAAGAAATTTGGCCAAGGACCAGCTGGTAGACTTTGCTAGAACCAAGACTTTAAATAGTAATTTTTCTTCCGTTTCTTTGATTAAATGGAAATTCAGTTAGTCACTGAACAGGAGTGAGAATCTTACCTTGTAAAGTTTCCTGATTACTGGGCATGGTTCTCATTCTCATTAGAAATCTATGTTCAGCTGTAGACAACTGGAGTAGATACTTTCCTCTAGAATATTACATACATTAATAATCTTTATAAAATTTACTGAGTAAAATACTCTAATATTAATAATATGTCAAAGATAAATACTGTCTAGGGAACTTTAATGTGAACAACCTGTATAGAGATTGATTTACCTCTAAGACTTCAATATACTGTTTTAAAAAGTCATTTAAATTCTATTACTGATGTCCTCTAGCTCAGAGCTTTGTTCAATTCCTGATTTTCTATACAAAATAATAAAGATGTAACAGTGAATTATCAACTTACTTTCTATAAGTATTAGAATAGAGATTAATTTTAACTGGTTTCGGATTATCATGATCTGGT